CTGTCATATCTTCAGCGATAACCACCATCTGACTGTAGTGTGCGTGTTGCACAGGGTATAGATCTCTATCGATTAGTAGTTAAAAGAATATTATTAACTGTGAAGATGATCCAATTATTCTTTCTTTTTTTCTAAAAAAAGATTTTATCTTTTTTTTGGTGTAATTTATTTGGTTTTGGAAAGCAAGAAAAATAATTTTTTCAAAAAATAATAATAGTAATTGATTTAGCCGGAGTTTGCTTGAAGTCAAATCAATCATAAGATTGTTTTATGCATTTATTTGCTCTACAACTGCGCATTATACAGAGGAATAATAATAGAATTCGAAATGATGAAACTATGAAAAAAGAGAAGAAGAAGAAGTAAAAAAGGCACACGAAACTCCCCACTTCTCTTTTCTTTCTTTCTTTCTTTATACATGACATACCGTCTTCAAATGACATTAATTTTGTCAAATATGCTGATGATCTAACTGTATCTTTGCCTGTTAAATGTCAAAGTGACTGCTCTAAACTAACTGGCTTTTAATCAGAAATCAGTCAATGATCCAAGGAAAACGGTCTCACCTTAAACCCCTCTAAATGCCAAACAGTCAATTTCACCCTAAAGGATAAATCCGACTTAAATAAACTGGTTATCACTCACTCACGAGGTGTGCAACATAGATGGCACTGAAATACAAACCAAGTAAGAAATTAAATACCTAGACGTCATTCTATCTTCTGATCTTTCCTGGTCGTCTCATATTTTGATGATTTCTAAGAAAATATTCCGTCTTACCTTCTACAACAAGAAGTTAAGACATTCTCGAATAACCCAACCCTTACTCCTACAATTCGTTAACTCTCGAATTCTGCCCATTATTCTCTATGGTTCCCCCTTAGTTTTTCCTGGGCTGGCTACTGAAGAAAGACTATACCGTATCACGCAGGATATTAAAGAGGTTGTCAACAGGGTAAGCCACAGGGTGCCACTTAACCAGCTTGTTGATATCCTGGTTGACAGCCAAATGGACTCATGTGAAAAATGGGATAAATCCATTTTATCTAACTCACACCACCCTCTTCACTCACAAATCTCCCCTTGTATCTCATCATCAGGGAAAACCAGAAGCCTATATAGAACACTATACGCTCGCACTAGTAAGTACAAAAACTCAACCATATCCTACTTAGCTCGTGTTCTGTGCGATAAAGAAAGCATTAGGCGTGATACCCATAACTTATTAAATAGTCAGTAGAACAACTGGATCTCGTGTTTCTTTCTTTCTTTCTTTTCCTTTTCTCTCTCTCTCTCTCTCACTTTTCTGTTATGTGCTCCTTTGTTTCTTTCTTCCTTACTAACTCTATTAAAACATTCTTCGCTCATGATTAAATCCTCCATGCAATCAAACAAAATCCCTACAAAACCAATACTTGAAAATTCTTCGTTTCCTCATACTCTGTATATCTCGACCTTTTGTTACCACCGACGCCAGTAAATATGCTAGTAGTATCTACTTTTCTAACACCTTCACACAGTCTGTTCAGTTTTGGCTTGCTACCGACATGCGAATGAATATGTTGTTGTCATAATGAACTGAGATTTCCTTAATCTATGTAGAGTTTTATTTATTGATAATGTATGTACTAACTGGATGCAGTATGCTGTAGTAAAATGCTGAGAATTCCATTCTGTATCACAAGTACTGTTTTGGAATAAAGCAAATTATTATTATTATTATTATTAGAATTATAAGGCGATGCAGTAAAAGACATGATTTTGAACCTCAGCTAACGTGACATTTTCCATGAATTGCATAGAATCGATGTAAAGTCTTCATTACTTATGAAAGGATTGCATAAAGTTGACTAATAATGCGAATGTATATATATATAGCTTAATCGGTCACACCAATAAGACTTACACAACCACTCGGATATGTACCAATATCAGTATGTATTCGGTCAGTTGATAATGTTAGTCAATCATTCATTTGATATCGATCGATAAGCAAAAGCTAGTTAAATCGCTTTAGAAGCAGACTGACTGACTGACTACTGACTGTCTACAGAATCTACTAATGCTTGAAGTTTACATCTAAGGTTCCCTCCTACTCACCAAAAACGACATATTATTGAAACAAGGCATAAAATGTAAATATGTAGGCTTTCTAGATTCATTCAATGAACATAGGCAGTGAGGAGTAACTATTGTCAGGCGTCTAGTTCTTTGTTTAGTGAAGAAGATTCAATTTTATCAACAAACAAGGAAAACCTAGCTGCAAGGTTTGCTGCCGATTGCCTCCGACCATCTAATATCAACAATTCTCAGTGAAACATGATACCGAGCCACCTAGCCTGATAGTGGCCGCCACTTGATTGATAGAATTCGGTCTGCACCAAACAAAAGACTAGACAGATTATATTTTGTTACTAATAGGTTTCCAATCAGTGGTATCCATATAGGAGGTCGATTGCCAGCCCGAATAAGCTCAGTGGTTACGTCTCCTCTGACCCTGCATCACTGAGTGACACGGGTACGAATCTCAGAGGGGACATAAATTTCTTCAAGATTGTTGTAGATGAGTCTCGCTGAGTGGTGATTGCCAACTAGCACAAAATCTATGTCGGGTAGGGTGCTCCCTACCAATTGCCTCCAACTATCTGATTATAACGATTTTAAAAGTTGATCCCTAGAATTCTGTTGGAAAGTTGTAGCCCAAAGCTTTGCACTGCCTTTTATCTATGCACTAGTACTTTCTCATTCAACACAGGAGTAAGACAAGGCTGACTGACTAGTATCCCCGATGATATTCTTAATTGTGGTGGACTGGATTATGCATCACACTGTGGGTGCGGAGTGAGAAAACAGAAATGTTACGAAGGTGACTGAGTCTTAGAATGATGAGTGATGCTTGAATCTTGAAAAGACGAATGAACCAAGAATTTAGACTTTATTCATTTTACAATGAAGCCGGAATGGCTTAAACGTACAAAGGAAAAAAAGCGTGTTAATAGCGGAAGGGATAGGAATATGATTAGATACGTATTATAAGAAAAGTTCACAACAATACTCTACCACAGTGCACAAGTTTTATTCTTATATCAGTGAAGAACTCCTTTTTCACATAAAAAATGCTCCAGTTTTAAGTTGCCACACTTTGCGAAAACACGATTATTAAAAGTCAGAGGAAAAGTAATTGCGATGACAATGTAATCGACCAAGATGTTAAGGAGACAGGAAGAGAGAGAGTTGGGGGTAAAATCAGACGAAGATCAGTGAGGATTTTTAGAATCTGAATGATGACAAGAAATGAAGACATCTCCACCACCGTGAACAACTTTGAGCCATTTGTCGGATGGTGACTAGTACTGGGACCCATTTCGTCCCATTTGGAGCTTATCAACTGGACGTGCCTACTGAGTAATGGTGTAATTTCCAGCAATACTCGAACCCATATGACATGCAGACGGATAAATAGTGGATTACCTCTTATTGGTGATATGGCGATCGATGTCCAGTCTGAAAATTGACCAATCAGAATTCACCTATGTAAAGTAACGCCCACTATTTTATTGATCATGATTATAGACTAATTCAAATATCCTTGGTGATCTTCGGTAATCATATATTATTATTGCGACAAATATACCTTGCGGCTCACATCGTTGTGTGTCCTTGCTTACGTAGTGTGGGCTGGGAAAACAGGTAGCTGTCGTATAAAGTTGTTGGCTGTATTCATGTCTAACTCGGCGTCCCCATATCGACCTCAACGTATTAGGAATCATAACACCGGTTACATAATGTTTCAAACGCTAAAGCATTATGCACTAGACTAGCTGTGTCAAGAGCACCACCTCTTGTGCAACGGGCACCAGTTATTTTTTTTAATTCAGTTTTGAGTTTTTCCGTTGACTGATTCCATTAAAGATGCTTAAATTATAATAATAATAATAATAATAATAATAATAATAATAATAATAATAATAAAGATATAGTAGCAAATAGAATATCAACTAAAATTAGGAAAATTCCACAAAAATTCATGATCATTCAAAACTTAGATGGACAAGGTAATGATAATGTCTGAACTAACTTCTTTTGGATGCATAAATTAGGCTTGTTAATATGAATCCGCACAGCCTCAGCAGTATTTAGTAGTCGAACTCTTAAGGAAAAAATTGAGATTCGTAGGTATGCAGTAAATGACCCTGAAAGCATGGTTAACGTCAATCTTGTGTTCTGTATCCACAAGATGAGATAGAATATCGCTGAGAATAGGTTTTGTTTGTCCTTTGCTTAACCATTCAGGATGATGTTCGGAAATTCGACGAGAAACACGCCTAATTGTACAACCTATGTAACTGGCTTATTCCACAGGAGCAGTTAAATTGGTAGATACACATGGAAGAGGCGAAATTAGGCAGTTTGTCTTTTGCTCTCGAATGCAAAAAGAAGAGTGATTTTGAAGACACAAGGTGATTCGACATTAGGGAATGCTCTTTTTATCGCATTTCTAAGGCGTTGTGTTAGTATCTCACTGGTGTTGTCCCCAAGGAACTGCATTTGTAAGAATAAGGCCTTTTTGGAACTGTTGGTAATTTGGGCTGCTTTGCTCTTAGATTCATATTCTTATCAATAAACTTTTCATATGTATATAAACATATATATAAATGTAGAGCCAGAAGAGGAATTTATCTAAAAGGATATTCTTTGCTCGATTATTCTGTGTTTTATAAAATTACTTCAAGTTATTCGCCAAACATCATCGAGGCGTGCATTACTATGAGTCGACATGTCAACAACAACAACAACAACCACAATGGTTGAATACTTTGGTCAAATCACAATCAACAGCGAAAATCAAAAGTGAGTCAAAAAAATTACAAAAAAATAAAAGATAACTTTGAGTTATGTCACGAACAATCTCAAAAAAATGTTAAAAAATTAATAATATCATTGGAAAAAAAACAAGAAGTTATTTAAAAGACAAAAAAACAATTAAACAGCTTACTTACTTGAAGTTCACGTATAATTTGTGTTTTAACAATTGGTTTTATCTCCAGATGAATATTTTTCTTTGCCATAATTAACCCGGTAGCTGTATGACGTACACGACTGACAACACCACCGTTGCCTTTCCCAATTTCACTTAATTTTTCAAAATCTTCTGGACGTAATTCACCAATTTTTTGTTTATCTGCTACAAATGCACTTAAACGACGACGTTGATTATCATCTAAGTCTTGTATTTCTAATTGTTTTAAACTGTTTTTATATACATATTTGTTTATTTATTTTAATGATCCAATGCGAAGAGATGCGAAGGACGAAAAACCGATGGCAGTTGGGAGCAGAAAGTATACAAACAAAGATAAGACATTAATTTTATTTAAAGCTCAGTGATTTCAAAGAAATATTAAAATATTTTCAAGTATTGGTATGTTGTAGGGGATTTTGCTTGTTTGATTGGTTGGTTGGTTGGTTGGAGGATTTCATCATGAGCTGATATCAGTTAGAGAAACATTGGAAAACCAGCACTGGAGTATTGGACAGCTTTTCATCAGTATGCACTCACCACAGGGGTTCGAACACACGACCTTCCGGTTATACAAGGCGAGCTAGCTCGTAGACCATTAAACCAATGGGACCCGATCCGATGACCAGCCCATGAATTCTAGCTTCTGTCAATTCACAATACAGCGCGACCACTTCGCAATGCCTTCTTCGATGAGTGACTGCCTCACCATCAACCTGCTGCACCCCACTGGTCACGGCTTCCCACTAGAACCCCAGGTTAACTGAGTGAATAGGGCCAGTCGCTAGTGGGTGCGTACTGATGAGGAGCCCCAAACTAGCTGCCTAGTACTCCAGCGCTGGTTTTCTGATGTCAGCTCATGATGAAATCTTCTCATCAATCAAATATGAAAAATATTGAAAATTGAAAATTAAGAATTCGACTGAAGGTCGCCGCCCAAGTTGCTAACTAACCACCCAGAAATCGGGTGGTTTGAACTGATTCAGCTCTCTGAACTCGTTTAAACACGGCACACTGCACTGATGAGGCCAACCCGTAAAGAGCAAAACGGTCATCACTTCAATAATCTGGTTGACTAGCAAGCATTACTAGTTGCTGTGCGGGTGGTATACACAACTACTCATCTCAATCAATCAGTAGTATATAGTTTTTTGCATTCATGTTTGCTTTTCCGATTACCGTTTATCGTATCAAGCAGATTACATATATATATATATATATATATATATATATATATATATATATATATATTATTGTGATCTGAATAATTTTGGTTTCAAAAGGAAACTCTCTGGTCAAATTTCACCTTCCCGAACTGTGTAAATTGTAAATTGTGAATTCGATTTACTATTAAGACGTACAAACTACTGGCCTATTCATCAATCTGGTCTACACAACTACATGAAAAGTATGACAAGGTGTGTTTCGAAGTATTTATTATTTCATTTGGAAGTTACATCACGTACTGATATGAATTGCAGAACCATTGAAAATCAGCCGGGAGTACCGGACAAATGTTTCATGCCAGTTTATAACTATTCAGCAGTACTCATGTATGACCCGACTGAGGATCGAACGCAGGATCTCCAGGCTAAGGGGAGGATAGCCCGTTGATTATTCAACCGATAGGTGGGAATCCAATTACGAATGAATTCATGACACAAATAGTGCCACCGCCAGCGAATACTATCTGAGAGTATCTGATCTCAAATCCGACCCCACTAAACACTAATTCCCAAAATAACTCTAAGCACTCCATCTCGTTAATCAGTTACCAGTGTGCATTAAACTGACTATTCTACGATCCTCTACAGGGTCATGCGTGAGTACTGTTGAGGTGTTGCAAACTACCAGTACTTCTGGTTCTCAATTATTTTCAAATCGATTTCAATCCCTGATCTTACCTGAAATTCTGACGATGGTGATGATGACGATGAAATAATAATAGTAGTAACAGCACGTTATTTCTTGGCTGTTGTCATAAGTTCAAAAAACACATATTTCAGAACGTATCTACAAATTAATGAAAAATTACAAATAGGCGAAATTTGTTTTCATCTAGTTGTCATGGTTCCCGACCGAGAAATGTTGCTCGATATACCTAAATATCACTCTACCAAAACAGTGACAGAGTAACTTAACAACGATGCTTCTAAATGCCTACTACTCTTTATTTCAAGTAGTACGCATGTACGCACACACACACACATACATAAATACATACAAACCTAGATATCAACAGAACTACATCCTGAGACAGACTATGCGTCAGTCTTTGGCAGAGTATGTAACATGTGCAACCCACCTATTATAGATAGGTATATAATATAGTGAGAAGCGCGCGCTCATACAAACGTGTATTGATATATGTACACACACATACACACACACGCGCATAACACACACCTTTACATCCTATACAGTGTAATTACTCTTGATGCAATTAATGATAATAGTAATGATTGTAAACTGTGATTTATCATCTTTGTATTTTTATTACAATAAATAGCAATAATAATGAAAGCTATACAATACTAATACAAGTTAAATCACATAATCAAACGAAATGAAATATAAAGGAATTGGTATACACAAACATCCACTCACACACACACACATACAATGAGGAGAGAAACAAAAGCAACGTTACTCCTCTGAATATATATATATATATATATATATATATATAAGGATGTATTAGTACCAAAGTAAAGCCATTAGAAGAAGAAATTATTGATTTGACAGTAAAGCTTGACTACCCATCTGAACAACAGAAAGAGAGAGAAAGATAGGCAAAAGAGTAACTTGAGTTATGCTTCCATGATTGAAATTACCTGATTTGTTTAATTAAGTGCATGTACGATCAGAACTTGGGCGAATTATTTTTATGTGTATACAACAGTTGACGCACTTAAACACCTCTCTCTCTCTCTCAAACACATACACACAGCCTATTGCTTTAGAAACTAGGGTATGAATAAAACCGGTAGTATACAATCTTCGAATAAACGAGTACTGTGAATGCATGCCAAATGTGTACTTAGACTGTTGTTTGTTTGTTTTTTTTATTTTTCAAGGTGTTTGGAAAAATCTAAGCCGCATCTAAACTCTAATCTAACAAGGTATGGGTTAGCTCGTATAATGAACAGATACTGATGGGTACAGTAGAGGTTATAGGTTATACTTTATATAAGACAACTTGAAAAACTACCAAACTGTCGAAACGACAATAAATACAGCAGGATTGAAATCTTTGGTATAATCTTGGTAGATAGCGTCAAAATTGTTGATCTTTTTGACTGCGTGAATTAGCATATATATCCCCCTGTTTCACAATTAGCCTATATCTTAATATTCAAAAAGAAACTGATGTGTTAGGAAATTGTATTAATGGCAGGGATTTGGTTGATTGGTTATAGGATTTCATCATGAACTGACATTGGTTAGAGAACCATTGGAAAACCACCCGGGAGTACTGGACAGCTGTTTCGTCCTAGTTTGGAACTCCTCATCAGTACACACCCACCGGGGTTTCGAACCCAGGACCTTCTGGTTACAAGGCGAGAACATTCTTTTCGACATATTCGTCATCACATGTTCTACGATTATGTGACCATAATAATTTAAAGAAATTTTGCTACTAACACTTTATCAAGAGCATCGACAGATTCCACTTCAAAAGCGTCAGTAAGAGAGATGGATAATGTGCATTATTATAATTTCAAACTAATTGGATATCAAATAGATTAGGGGAAGTAACACAGAATTTATAGCCTCGACAGCAGCCCAGGGTAGCAAAGGTGACTGGCTAAAACTGTTATTACGGCACACACACATACACACACACACATACATACATACATACATACAGAGACCTCTGGTTGATTTAAGCGAGTTTCAGTGGTCTCTGGTGTTTGGAATGTTGTGTACCTAGAGGCCACTGGTAATTTATTCGACACCCAATAGATGACAGAGAAAGATTCTTCAGTGCTAGCTTTGTATCATATTTGGACAAGGTGGTCCAATATAGAACTGTTGGTGGTTTTAACAATACCTGTAATTAAACACACTGGTGAGCGTCGCTGAACACGAAAACTCAGCAATGGCCAATATAACTAGCTCCACAGGAGCAGTTGAACCGATATTTAGTGTAGTTTTATATTAACGCATACAATCTTTTACGCGTGCTTTTGATATGTAATCTATTGATACTGCTGATTCAATATAATTGAAAACATTAATTTTGTTTATAACAATGTTTTTCTAATTATTACTGCCACATAAATGTAGAACGTGATGAAGTTGACGAAAAGACTACTATTTGTTCGCCAGCCGGTCAAGTTAAAGCATAATCATGTGATGATAGCTCGTTGTTAAGGTTACGTTTAGCGTTAGGCTTAAGATTAAGGTTAGGATTAGGGTTGGTACTAGGGTTAGGGGTTACGACCAGGGTTTCGATGAGGCTTAGAGTTGTGCTTTATTTTTATAATCCGCATTTTTCGAGTGAATAGATGTCGACCTTCTAACTGAAATCCATACTAATTCAACTAAGAACTTTTCGGGAAGACTAAAGAAACGGGATAAGAGCGATAAATAGGTCATAAAAGAAATTCATTTTCAGTCGCCTCGATGACTACATGTCCGACTTAAAAACTGAAACTCCTCATTATATAGCTGGGAGATATTTTTAAAGCATTTCACTGAAAAATATGTTGTTTTTAATGTAATTTATCATTATTCTCTGTATTTCTCTCTTAAAAAACATGGAAAAACCAATGATTTTGTTGATTGATGGAATCAAAGTCCATTTAAGCGTCCATATCCCATGGACCGTCAGAGTTTAACTTTGCCCACTAATCAGTCTTTAAAAAAAAACAAAGAAAAAACAGTTATTTACTTCGCATACAGAACTTACACTTCAGCAACATCAACAGGCCCGGTACTAATTCTGTTCGAATAACGATTTTCATTATTCCGATCTACTTTAGAGTTGAATAGATTACCGCCTGTTGGTGCATGCGTTTTCTTTGGAGATAAACGAAGATCTGTCAGGGGTGGTGGGATTCTACGATGAGCGGAATGTGGATGAGAATGATGAGCACTTGGTCGATAGATAGTAGTTTGTTGAGAGTTTTGTGAATAATTCTCAGATGAAATTATCACATTACCATCGTTTAATTTATCTAGAGTTGTATTGACTGTACCGGTTGAATTTCCATTTCTTTTCATCAATGATTCTGATGCATTGTCTGAAGATGAGTGAAGTAAATCAGAATTTGAGCCAATCTCTTCAGGTTTCCTACCTGACAAAGAACCACTATCTGATGATTGAATAGCAGAACTTGGAAGAGTGAGATTCAATCGATTGCGTTTGCTTCCGCTGCCTGAGGATGTTGACATTTAATTTGCTTTTATTGTATATCTTGTTGTAATGAAATAAACAAACAATCAACAATTATTGTGTTGCTAGGAAATTTCATATAAGTTGGTTTGTTTGTTTTTTCCATTTGCAAAATTTCTTAGAATATGAAGACACATACTAACAGAATGTGAATTCATTCACTATGTGCATTCTATTATCAACCATTTTACAACCTGATAAAATATAATATATGCATAAATAAAAAAGCCCTGGATGCAAAACTCCGACCGGAACAAGCTGGATTCAGGAGAAACAAGTCATGTATTGATCAAATCGCCACACTACGGATCATCATTGAACAAAGCTTGGAATGGCAGTCACCTCTTTACCTCAACTTCATCGATTTTGAAAAGGCCTTCGATAGCGCAGCGTCGATCGAGAGGTGATTTAGCAACTACTTCGCTACTACGGGGTCCCATCGACAATTATACATCTCATCCAACAGCTATACAACAATGCTACATGCCAAGTAATCCACAACGGGAAACTTACGGAATCCTTCAAAGTGAGGACGGGAGTGAGGCAAGGCTGTCTATTATCGCCAATGATCTTCCTGATTGCAGTGGTCTGGAGAATGCGACAGACAACGGGTAATGAGGAAACACGCATAAAATGGACTCACACAAAAAAGAACTTGGGGGATCTGGACTTCGCCTATGATATATGTCTGGTTTCCTACAAACTGGAAGATATACAAGTGAAAAGCAACAAGCTGGCAGAAGAAGCATCCAAAGAAGATAGGACTTCAGGTGAATATAGAAAAAACAGAGGTGATGAAAATTCTTGGCCAACACCAACAGCAGCAACAACAACAGACAACAATCAGTCAGCATAAATGGGAGGAACCTGAAAGAAACAGCCTCCTTCACCTACCCACCTAACTGGGAAGCATCGTTTCAACTACAGGCGGGCGGAACTGACGAGGATATCAAAGCAAAGATTGGAAAAGGAAAACAAGCTTTCATTTCTCTTAAGTCTGTGTGGAAGTCAACAGCACTCAGAATCAAAAATAAGATCCGGATTTTCAACTCCAATGTGAAGTCAGTCAGTGCTACTCACTATACGGATCAGAGACTTGCATTGCGTGTCACAAAGAGCGTCTCAAACAACAAACTACAGACCTTCATCAACAGCTAGCTGTCTTCGCTCAATACTACTCTAGATCAGATGGCCAGCCAGAAAAGATCAGCAACAGGGATCTCTGGCAATGAGCGAACTAACACAGCAGGAACCGATTGTGAAACAAATATGAAGGAAGAAATGGAGATGGATTGACCATACACTGAGGAAACCATCAAGTGACATCACTAGACAAGCCATTGCTCGAGTGGAACCAGGCCGAAAGGGAAGCGGGCGGCGAGTTGGTCGTCAGTGACAGGGTGGGGTGACTTGGAGGAGGTCATGTGAAGAGGAGGCGAATGCACGTGGGCAGACTTGGAACGGAGTGAAAAAGTTGGCAGAAAACAGAAGGCAATGGAGATGCGCAGCTGAAGCCCTATGTTCCTCTAGGAATTAAAAGATATAATAATAATAATATAATAAGTAATTAAAGCGAACCACTATTTTTAATAAATCCTTCTTCAGCCCTTACAATTATAAATCCAGTATATTTTACAATACCATATCACAAAAAAGCAGTGAAAACTGGACTCCACGTGAACACGGAGAATTTAGCACGAATCAGCAGCAAATAGAGGCATCTAGAGGAAGTCACCTGTTCCGCACATCTAGATAACACACGGATGAAGATGTTAAAGCCAGCCAGAATCAGAAAAAATCAAAACAGACTTTTACTAATCTGAAATCAGTTTGGAAATCGTCTGCACTCCACCCGGAGCATAAACAACAAAATCTGGACTTTTAACACTAATCTTAAGTCAATCATTGACTCTACTTAGCTCAGAGATTTCGTGTGTCACCAAAAGCATTTCTCACACAGACTAATTCAAAATTTTATCAACCAACAGTTGCCTTCACTGGCTTCATACTGAAGATCAAATGACCAGAAAGGATTGAGCAACAAGGGACTCTGATAAAGGAACCCGCAAAGAACTCATCACTCAACAAATATGCTAGAAGAAAATCAAGATGGAGTGGATATACACACGCTGAGGAGACACCATTGAATGACATAGAGCGGAACCCGAATGGGAAATGATGGCTGGAGCGTCCGCAAGGAGGGAAGGTGGAGGTGGAGATTATACGAAAAAGGAGATGAGAGCCTATGGGCAGTTGTAGAGCCAGATAAAGACGACTGCAGAAAACAGAATGAAACGGAGGTGGTGTGTTGAATCACAATAATAACAATAAAATATAATAGCTATTAAAAGCAAGTTAGAACTATATGACAAAGTATATTGTGGTACAAGTACAAGATGGAATAATGATAATAATAACAGTCAGTGAGTTTTGATTATTGTTTAAATCCATATAAAATGCGTACGATCAGTGAGAACATGATATAAAATGAGATGAAATAATTCAATGATGTGTGCTTATGTATATACGTATACATACTTAACTTAAAGTACAAATTTCAACGGTGTGTGTAGCCAAAAGTGCGACATACAATAAAAATACTATGCAGAAACAAAACAGTAAATAGGGTGACCTAGACGAAATACTAGTGAAATAAATAGAAATAATAATTATATAGTAATAATAATAATAATAATAATAATAATTAAATTAATGCATTTATAATTGAAGAACCCGGAGGAAGAATTCACTGCAAACAACTGTTCAATTCAATTATTTGTGTTCTGAATATATTATAAAGGATATTTGAAAACTATTTCAAAACTACCATTTACGCTGTTTTACCAGTTCATAAAATCGGTTTGCCGCTTTGACCAGTTTTGGACATGTGTAATTCTCCATATCATGCAACAGCAAAATGGTTAGTGAAGCTCCTAAAACATCAGCGAAATAATAACACAGCGCCTGAAGAATGCAGTTAAAAGAGCTTATTATGCAGCAGAGGTACGTTGTCTCTTCACTACCACCCCTATTCTACGTTCGAGAAATAAGGATAAACTACCTAAATTTGCCTTTTCCATGTGTATCTACCAGTTTGACTGCAGCTGCGGAGTCAGCTACATTGGGCGTACAATTAGGCAGGTTCATCATCGTATTTTTGAACATTATCCAACAGGGTTAAGCAATGGACAAACAAGATCTATTCGTAGCTCTATTGTAGCCCATCTTGTAGATAGTGAGCATAAGGTTGATGTGAATACTGCATTTAAAATTATTTATCGCATTCCTACTAATCTTAATTTTGCTCTACGAGTTCTTCTTCAGACAGCTGAAGCAATAGGAATCCACCTGAAGAAGCCAAACCTGTGTGTTTAGAAGAAATTTGTACAGCCACTTTCTTTTCCTTGGTCATCGCTACGTGAATGTATAAACCGGACTACTTCGCCCCCCTCCCCGTAAACATTTAAAAATTATAATTGTCCAAATTATTTTATTTTTCTGACCCCTTCATCTTTGATTATGTATTGTCCTTGTAAAATTAATTTATTCTAACCATTTCTACCTTTTATATCTGTATTGATTTTCTTCGTTAATTATCAACTCATTGACATTTTGACACTGACATATGGCCACTTGATCGGTAAACTGTTGTGTATTGTAATAAAAATGCTATATATATATATATATATATATATATATATATATATATTAGAGTAGAGCTAGAGATGAGGATCTAATTGAAAAGCAAATATTTCTTCGCTCAATCTTTCTGTTTTCTTAATGCCTAAATGGGGATCTTTTGTATATAGATAAACTGTCCATAAAAACAGCTCATTTTTAGTCACCTCGGTGAATACATGTTCAGAAACTAGACTAACTTAGCAAGTGATACTCCTCACTATAACTGGGACGTATTTTTAAGTCATGCCAGACAAAGATACCCTGTTTAGTGTGTTTTAATGCATTTTCTTGTATACATACGTCACTTTTTGTAAAAAAATTCCTCAGTCCTATGACTGGTCGGCTGAGGGTCATCCGTGCGTTCTCATTCCTTGGGACGCTATTGTTGAACTTTACCTGTTAGATGATCCGCCCAGGATTGATATAAAACCAAATTCTAGTTTGGGTTGGGCAGTAAACTATGTTGAATGAGCTAATCACTCCACTTATTCGGAAAATCGCATCAGTCATAATGCAATGATTGTTAGTGAAATCACAGTATGCATGCCGAAGACTGTATTTACCAGACTACGTTGTCTTTGACACAGGCATATCCAGCCATCTATCAAATAATGTGTATAATGTTCTAATCTGCCATATACTTCTTTACGGCTGTCAGACATGGATGTTGAAAGTGGTAGATATGAAAAAACTAGCAGTTCAGGACATATGTCCTTCCACTACGTCTCTAGTGTTCCGTGGGATGATACAGTCATATTATTATTGTTGTTCTCTTGGGTTCCTAGTGTAACATAGGGCTTCAACTGCACCTCTCCACTTGCTTCTCTCTTCTCCTGTACTTTTCACCTGCATCCATGTTAGTCCATACTCTTTCAACTCCTCTTCACACGATCTCCTCCATGTCACCCTTGCACTGACGTCCCACTCGCCGCTTCCCTTTCGGCCTGGTTCCACTCGAGCAATGGCCTGACACGTGATGTCACCCAGCGGCGGCCTCCTCAGCGAGTGTCCAATCCATCTCCACTTTCTCCTGCATATTTGTTGGGCGATTGGTTCTTGTTTTGTTTGTTCTCATAATTCCTTGTTGGTGATTCTTTCCGGCCCGGACATTTGATCTTCAGCATAGAGCCAGCGAAGACAGTTGTTGATAAAGGCAACGTCTGCAACATGCTGTTGGAAATATTCTTTGTGACCCGCCCGCCCGCCAAGTTTCTGATCCGTATAGAAGAACTGACTGACTTGACGTTGTTTGTATTGAAAATCCGACCGAATTTTGTTGTTGATCCTGGCTGAGTGACGAAGATTTCCAGATTGGTTTCAGTCAGGTTGATGAATGTTTGCGTTTCTCGCCTTCCCGATTCTCGCTCGATTTGACATCCTAAGTCCGTTCCGACTGTCTGTAGTTGAGACAATGCTCCCTAGATAAGTGAAGTGAATGAAGTAACCTCTTCCAAATCTCTCCCGTTGATGGTGATTGGCACTGGGTGTTTCTGCTGTTGTTGTTGTTGGTTGGTTGGTTATTTTCATCACCTCCGTCTTGTCTATATTCACATGGAGTCCTGTCTTCGCTGGCTGCTTCTTCGACAAGTTTGTTAGTTTTCGCTTGTAAGTTTTCGATTTTGTGTAACATCAAGCATAAATCATCCACGCGCGAAATCCAGGTCTTCTAGGTTCTTCACGTCGGTCCAGGATATTCCTGTCTTCTCGTTTCCCACTGTCTGACGCATAATCCAGTCAGTCCACCACAATTAGGAATATCATTGGTGATAGTAAGCACCCTTGTCTGACTCCTGTGTTTATTCCAAACACGTCGCTGAGTTTTCCGTTGTGGATCACTTGACATGTTCCGTTGTCGTACAGCTGTTGAATAAGGTTGATGAATATTTGGGGTACGCCGTAGTACCCAAGTAGTGTCCAAATTACTTCACGATCAATGCTGTCTGTCGAAAGCCTTCTCGAAGTCTATAAAGTTGAGGTAGATGTTTGATTGCCATTGCATGCTTTGTTGTGTGATGATGCTTCGTAGAGTTTCAATTTGGTCAGTACATGATTTGCCTGACTTTCCTGAATGCAGCTAGCTTGTTCTGGTCGGAGTTCTGTATCCAGTGGGTCCTTTATTCTCTCCAGGATGATGCGACTCAGAATTTTACTTGGCGTCGATAGGAGCATGATTCCTCGCCAGTTCTTGCAGAGTGTGTCCTAAGTCGCCCTTCTTTGGTAGTTTCACGAGGTCACCTTTCTTACAGTCAGTAGGCACCTTTCCCTCCTTCCAGACCGTTTGCAATAATGGAGTGAGTCAGTATATCTGCTGTTGTTTCTAGGTCCGCTTTCAGTACTTCAGGGAGTATTCCATCTGGTCCAGCTGATTTTCCAGCTTTCAGAGGCTTGATTGCATTCAGCTTTCGTCGGAGGATTGGTGTCAACTTTCAGTTATACAGTCATATCGTGGTGTTAATTAAGGATGGAAAACTTATCAACAAGATAGTGAATTCCCATTAGTTGAGATAGCTAGGACATACGCTAAGCATAATGAGCTACAGTGTTCACCGAAGTGGGCTTAAGTTGGTGTGGTCAAAGGAAGACATGCCACTAGTCTATGAAATCTTTGACTTTTAGTTTGAGCCACGTCGGAAGGTGTCGACTGACATGATACTTTACTGCTAAGATGACATTACACGAAAACACTGTTACCGGTCATGGAATAGCTTTCATACTGACAGCATTAGTAGAAAGCTTAACGAGCAATCATCACATATCTAAGTGACAGTTGCCCTATGGTTGCATCTACTGAGACTATTTTTCTCAGAAACATAAGCTATCATTTTAATAAAAGAAACAAAATTAAAGACGATATGTGACACCATTCATAAGCTAAAATGATTACCTATTTTTCTTAAAACTGTCTGAAGTCACGATGAAGAAATAAAGAGTTCGATATTAAAACAGTTCAAGATATATGTTTATTATTGTAAATAGATGATACTGATAAAATACTGAAATTAAGTAATAACTCTCAGTCATTCTGCCTCATGCACAACCTTTCAAACAAAAACGCAAGGTCACTTTACCAAATTTAGAGTGCTAAATTGGATGCGCGAGTCCCAAATGTTGCATGATAACCAACTAAAGGTGTCACCATTACATTATGTGAGCAAAATCTGTATGTGGAATTAATAGTTTACGGCCATATCAACTTCTACGATAAATGAAAAAACTAATCAGATCTTATAAGCTGAATGAGGTAGGTTTAAAACAAATGTGGCTATAAAAACTATCGAGGGTTGGGTTTTATACCCTGATTATTTCATTAAAATCTACTACACTAGAAGATTCATTTGATACAGAAGATAAAACGGTATAGGTGCACCAAAACATTTGTCCAGTGCTGGTACAATTACAAACCACCTCTGCTAACAATATAGGAAATAAGACTTCAACGTACAATCTACAATACCACCTTCGACGCTGCAACTAACCGAGTTTAGGGACACTACCTCTAACACAGGGATATTCCTTTGTTGTTCAACATCCTGTAAGCCTTTATTTGATAGAAGATAGTCTCCCAAACAGAAAACAACATAGAGAGTATACCAGTATCACAAAATACGGCAATAAATGTACAAAAGCATGCACTTTCAGTGAAGAGACAGTAGTACAGGGAAACTTTCTCGCCAGATAGTAGTGGTGACGTAAGTCACTGGAAACTACTCACTTAGCCTATTTTATGTGAGATATAAGGAATTGGGTGAGGTTATTCCTGCTACAAGCAGAAGCCGAAGTCGATGCTATTTTTCGTTCGATATTTTTTCGTTCCATAACTCTAGCCTAGAATCTACATCTGTATGCATATCTAGTACCAGCAGTCAGACTTTATGGATTTATTCGTTTAATGACCACAAATGCTAGTGATTTCTGCTATCCAACCCCACCTTAATTATCTCAATAAAAGGTTTGCGATCTAATTGGCCGTCATTTTTATCCATATTAGTACTCTATTTATGATTCCAACATATTTAGAGAATGTTACGCCTTAAGAGATGAGATTTTATTTTGATAAGTCACACAGTGTTGTACAGTAATATTAACTGATGACCACGTTTTGAGCACAAATTATTGCTCACATTCATATCAAGACACTACTCACACAACTTTTTCCTTCATTTACATACATATGTGGAATTGGCTAGATACTTGAATAAAATCAATATGGGATAATGTACATTCAGAAATAGTAATATGAGTGTTATTGATCAATTACAATCAGATGGGAAATACGACGAGTGTTTTTATAGTCATAATAAGTGAGTAACTTGTTAGCATGTTGTGATGTGCTTGGATTGAAATAGAATTTCGATTTGACTGGCGGTAATAATATATTCCATATCTCTGGTATTTGCATTGACTCATTTCCGTTGCATGTGTTGGGTGTAGACTCAATGAGCCAGGATTCAGTAATTAATCTCTCTGTTCACCTACATAGATTACTTCTTAGAATCTTAACCCTCTCCCACACTATTGTGTGGTTGTGAGTTAATGCGTGAAGTGAAATTGCTGAGCTTTTTTCTAGATTAGTCATCTGCTCGGGATCAACCATTCTTACCTTAGCTAAATTCTTATGCTCCGACAATCTGATTACCCCCGATCTACTAGTTTAACCTACATAGTTGACCTCACAGTCATTGCAAGGTATTTTGTAAATTATATTATTTTGTCTAATTGGGTCAACCGACAGGGTCCTTTAACCTACAGAGCTTGTCTCTGAGTGAGTCTGTAGGTTTGAATGCCACCCCAATTCCTACTTTATTAAGAATCCTACGTAGGGTCTCAGATGTCCCCTCTTTATATGGTATAACAGTAGATGTGTTATCACTACTAGTTTCACAATTATTTTGATCAATAACACTCATATTATTATTTCTGAATGTACATTATCTCATACTGAATTTCATTCCAATATATAATCGATTCCACACATGTATATGAATGAAGGAAAAAGTTGTGTGAGTATTGTCTTGATATGATTATGAGCAGTTATTTGTGCTCAAAACGTTATCAGTTAGTATTACTGTGTAACACTGTGTGACTTATCAAAATAAAATCTTATCCATAATGGAGTTATACCCTACCACAGTGCCCAAGTTTTATACTTATACACCTTATAAGACTGCAATTTCCTACCTGTTGCGTTAAAAAACGCTGTTTCATAGCTACACAGCAAAGTCTTTAGCAATACACTACACATAATTCCCAATGGAACTAGAGATTATACAATTTAGCAAATATTTAACTAATCTTCTCGAATAATGGAGACTTTATTTGGAGAGACACAACTACCACAAAGAGTGAAAACTACCAAGACCTACTTTTTGCAACATCACCTTATACGTGATAAATGTTATACACACCATAATGCTGGTATGGGTTTTGAGGAGAAATCTTCTACTAACGCAATGGTTTTGGCTCCTTACCTACATTCTATTTTGCCACATCACATTTCAACCCATATAGGAGGATGTTAAATCTATCACAAGTTCTATGTAAATATCTGGTTACTGTTATAAAATCAGGTTTACGAAAATCCTGACTCTCTTAAGTCAGTTATTTCTAAGCATTAATTGCATTCCATATAACTGAAGAATACAGTATTATTCTAAGAAAATTTGTCTTTCCATCTAAATTACAAAGTTAAATTCACAACGAATAGTTCGATAACAAGATTACAATGGCCAAAAAGTGATTTTACAGGTAAGTACAAAGTAAAAGGGCGGGTAAAATACGAATGCTGAAACGCAACAAGTGGGTAACAATAGATAGTGGTATATATAGATGTCTGGAAAACTAGTTTATCATTATGAAATGCGATCCAATTTAGCCTGCATTAGGTCGAACTATATGAAGTCATTAACACCCGTGCGGAATCACTTGGAATATTTTAGAGATTGATGAAGAGGTTCGAAATATTAGTTAATTTGCCTCACATGAAAACAGATGAGAAAAATAAGCCAACACTACGATCTTAAATGCACTTTGTTGACTGCAATATAACTAAAACAGCCATTACAGTACATATATTGTTGCTACGTAAACTACACCAAACAGCAGCAACCATCAATTCTTATTAAAACATAGAAAAAACACTTACCAGAAAAAGAAACAGTTGTGCCTCAATGACCTTGAATCAAGTCCAGCGCTATAAAGCGTCACAAAGATCGATTTATAGTAATCGTCAGTTTCAGTTTCCAAGGTTGAAAATAATCAGCTTAGACTAAATCACTAAATCTACGATAAAGCATAAAATTACGTAATAGTTTTCAAGTAAAAATATATAAAATTTGTAGTTCTGTTATTCAGACTCGAATTATAAAATTACATTTTGAAAGTAAGAAGCAAATATATAATATGAAGTCTCTGCACAGCTAGGATAAATCTCATCAATCCTAATCATTAAATTGAACTCAGCTGTTTCATTTTTTGAGTCACCAGAAAGGGAGCTAACGTGATGACATGTGTAGCTGGGTTATCTTTAAAAAATTCTTGTCAAACACACACTTTGTCCAGGTTCGATTCCTAGCTGACTCACCAATAAAATCGGTAGTAGATTCGGTGAAGAGGAAAAGTAAGGATTGATGTTTGCAATCTCACCCCGAAAGCAGCATCATTATTACTGCTGAAACTTCAGAGCTTGAAGATTTAAGTTCAGTGTTCTATCCGGAATGCGAGGAAAGAGAAAACTCGAGTATCAACAAAAACTCGATTTTTGGTGGAATTCATGCTACACGCAGTGATTCTCATGAATTTGCAAAACTACGGTGATTCCAAGAGTTTTATGGGACAGAGAAATGTAGATTCTACGAATTCTTCATTCCATGGGAACGCAAGACTGTCTTAAAGGGATATTTGACGGTTTCCATTTTTCAGTCTCCTTTATAATAATAATAATAACTCCCAACAACTTCGTCCATTTTCGCCTTCGTATACGAAATGACAACCTAATGATCATCACCGAACGGCACACCAAAATGTCCATCATTTTCAAGTCAGAAAGTTGTTTATTAGTAAATATATGTAGGGCACTATTGGCCAGTGATTCGAATTAAATATTAAATATAAATATGTCCGCTGCACAACCGGTAGCTGATATTAAGACTTTCTGCTTGAATCTAGGTTTAAAGAGCAGAGTAAAACCCCAAGTAGCAACACGATAAGGGCTGTTCCTTCAGCTGATGCCTGGCAGACTTGTGTTATGACCAACGCAAAGTTGCAAAAGACGGTACCTGTTCTTATCTTTCATCGCCTCTCACACAAGACCACCCAAATGACGCTTTTCTGAGCGTAGATGCCAAATCCACGCGTTCAAATCCCCAGATAGTGCTACAAAGTCTTCTGGAGAGCCATCTTCCATGAGCTCATTCGCCTGATAGTATAATTTATCCTCAGTTGCATCCAAGCTGGAATCCACCGATGCGTAATCAGAAATAGCTAAAAAAGTAAGTCTTCTGTGATCATTTGCTTCATAGTGTGGTATAACCTATCATCACAGTGCATAGATGACTCTTAGTAGGGGTCTACTCAGGTTGTGTACCACTGGCTTTCAAGCCTATTGCGCCATCGACACCAGCTAACCTAAATGCCAACTCTATAGGATTCCCTGCTAATCGCACGTTGTGTACGCCATCTGTCAATGTAGTTGAAGATTGAACGATCAATTCATGGTTGTTTGCTCAAACCCAACTTCTCCAATTTTCGCGGAGGCATCAATACACCAGTCATCGTCTCATCGGTCGCTGTTCAGAAAGAAGTCAGGCCAAAACCGTCAGAAGTAATATTGTGATTTATTATTGTAATATTTGTTCACAGACCTTAGTTGTAACATTGTTTATATGTTGGTGTTACAATAAAGAATCCTCGAGTCACCAATTGGTGTTTTGGTTTATTCGTCCGTTATTACTAAGCGTTTCTGAGAAACTTCAAACGACAGCGTGAGCCCGAGCGTAGCAAGAGCTGGGCATTGACGGTTTACGAGACGTGGCTGACACCATCCAAACCCACACACGAATGTATTCAAATGTCTCCACTTCGTTCTTTTATACATGCCTTTATGGAAACAAGCTTATACATGCAATTTCAGAATAGCCACCTTAGATGTTGCTCTGGAGTCCGAAATATTGGAGGCAGCCACTAAAATTGGATAATTTTGGGTCTTCTATAATAACGAATGGCTGATTAAAGTGAAGATATCAGAAAACATAATAGTGATAAAAATAAAACAAAAGACTTATGTGAAAAAAGAAAAGAAAGGGATCTCACTGCCGGGCATATAGTTGAGAAAGTTACTCGTGAAGGTGCACGGTGGGTGTTCCGCATTTATTCTTCCAAGATTTGTGCGAAGGCTGAGACAGCAGTCAGATGACCTAACCGAATTAGGGACCATTCACAGACCCTTTGAATTGATGTGCGATCCACACAACAATGGAGGGCATCAGAAGCTAAATTCACCTGATTATCAGAACTCATACTTCATTAAATCCTTTTAGCGTCCACCACAGGTTTATAACTCAGGTTTCCCTTCTCCACGTGGATCAAGATGTCTACCTGTCTGGTGACAAGCCCTGAGTATCTCATCTAATCCTTCGCTTCATTAGAAAATCGCCCTGGGTGATGTCACTTAATAGGACTGCACTAGTAGAAGTAGTGATTGAGTGATCAAATGTGGGGAGGACAAAGAGACTGAAGTCGACCCACTTCCGACCGAACCAGTTTACTCATGAATCCAGATAGCGATGGGAACTGTTTTAAGAGATAAGATTCATGATGTTATCTCGCAAGAGGCAACAGCATATATTTCGAATACAGTGTGCTCATCTTCATTTGCAAACATTTTATTTATCTGTTCTTGGGTCAAGGTTTCATCATAGTGACTGATTTTTTGCCACTTCACCAACAATTCTGTACTTATTCGGACAGTATTAATTTGATAGAGTGCACACGATTTTGAAAAAGTTTCGCAGTGTTACATAGATGTCCATACTACTAAACTCAAAACAAATATTTTTGCCAGTCCTTTGTCTCAGGAAAAACTGGATATTTTAGCGAAGTAAGTCGATATAAATCTTGCACATATGTCTAAGCTGCAACAAGATTATTCACATCTTTTGACAAGCTATTAGAAAAATCTATATCGACGCTTAGGGATACCCTAATGCTTTTATTTTTTGTAACAACTGTTTAGGAAAAGTGAGCCTGGGTGCACAGCCATTTCTCTAAGGACTTAGTGTTGTACAAAAATTCTCTGCTTTTCATTGGATGGAAAAACATATCACCTGACGATTTTTAAAGCTGCCGATGAACTCCTAGCACGCTATGATTATCACCGTAAATCCTCTTCAAATATGTGCCTGATCACTGCACGAAAAGTGGAGCTATTTGATAAGGACCGCTGGCATTTGGATATGTACATGTCCGACCTTTAACGGGACCAAAAAGATCTACTAGGTTGTCGTTTTGTTCATTAGCCTATTTTGATGAAATTTTTGAACTGAAATTAACTACAACATGTTTTGATCGAAAGACACAGAATTTCAGCGAGCCTAATAGTATAGCTGATAAACGCGCAGGATGCTACCGCATGAATATCTCTACATTTGCTGCAGGATTCATAAGACACATTCCGCGGCTGGAGTCCCTGCCTAATCACGTGGAAACAAAGCAGGACCAGATGAACAGAAGCCAGCATACTGCAATTTCATTAATCGAGAACTTCACGGGCACATATCTACTCAGTATATGATGGGAGTAAATATATAAGATTCCTGTTTCTGCTTAGAGTGGTGTAATTCTGTGTTTGATATTGATTCAGTGAACGAAGATTTTCCCCATCAAACTGCAGTGCCTCTTAATAATGGTCTCTACCCTACCCTGTCGTGTGATCACATGCAAGTAAACGCATAGTAACAGCTTAGATTTTTTCGAGATTTTTCATTTGGCGGTGCTAAGTGGCCTACATCTGTTTAAGTTATTCTCTTCTTATAATGTGTCTGTCCACGGTCTACTAGTTTAAAATGTGTAATTCAACTCCCAGTCACTGAATAAATTAATATTCTTTGTCCAGTCAGTACTTCAATTTGAAGTATGCGCTGAAGATGTCACCTGGTAGGGTCATGAAAGCTTCGCAAATCAACCATCCAGCTCAGAGAACACAAACACATCAAAATTACCTTATTAAACATCACGGTTCGAAAAGGAAGGTAGTAATTTCACGCGGTGAAGCAGTTGCTATTTCGTTGTGTTAATCGCATCAGGTAGTCAGAGAGAAGCAATAAGCTATCATCTCTGTCCGCGTAAAAGTTGTGCGGATAATCTGAATTCGCCTTTGCCCATGAAGACGTAAAACTCCTCCTATCTAGGAATTTAACATTGAGGTAGATATATGGAATCAAGTGGCATATAAAGTTGCTATTAGGGAAAATTCTGTGCTACGCCACGATAGTGAGATTCTACTGGACCTTAGAGTAATGATCGCACATAAGCACAGCTTTCCAAGGAGTCTCGAAAATAAAAAAGGAAAGGCAGCGTCGATACTGCAAAATCAAATGGTGAGATCGTTATGGAGAAGCATGCCATATCGACTGAGAGACTGGTTCCTTCTTGCGGCAGAACCACTACAGGAGAATCTAATGCCATACTGAAAACACCGAAGGGTAAGTAGTTTTGGAAGATGACGATGTCTGCGTGGGTAGACTCCAGATTAGGAGATGGGGGGTATCGACGGTTACGCAAGGTACGCTGTTGACAAACGCAAGTTTTGCCCTGTAAGTCTCAAGGTACTCATTCTACTAAGACCAGAGGTAATAAGAAACTGCAAAGTGATTGTCCCAAGGATGAGATGCATTTCGGGATCAGGAGTGTGTAGCGGTAACGATCACCTAACCAGCTGTCGGCTGTGCAGGAACTTAAAGTTACAGCACACCGTATGTCGCTCATGCTTGACCGCCTACATTCCGTCTAACAATTGGACTTAGATGGTGAAGGTCAGCACTGAACAATGAGTGGAGGATGCTGTACTCTAATAATTTTAGGGGGTTGTTTACCCCTACTTAATGCATCCACCGACAAGAATAATGCTGGATCTGCTGATCAGGTCCCAATGACAGTTGGTGTTGTTTAAGTAATAATTATAATATATTTCATATAAACAGACAGATTTATATGAAAAGCATTACAACTCTATAGGCAAGATTCTACGACTTCAGACTTTGCCTACATGATTATTCAGAATTTGGAAAAAAAGACTAAGGTTGATCCAGTTGTGCTCCATGTTCGTGATCTTGGGGCGATGTAGTCAGTTTTTAGCGACCTACTTCCTC